TGGGGGCGGGCGGGTTAGAGCTGCCCCCCCCCACGTGGGCTTTCCCTTGCCAGTCCAGTCTTGGGGGGGCGGGGTGCAGGGGCGTCTGCCCTGCCCGCGGGCTGCCTGGCGGCGCAAGTTGCGCGTTGCTGTCTCCAGCCCCCCCGGCATGAGCGGACTGGTTACCCCTGGAGTTCCCTTTCCGCGCGGAGCCCGAAGTCAACCCCTCTGGTCGTTACAAAGCTAATCGCAGCAGCTCGCTCCCCTGGGGCCAATTCACCTTGGGGGGGCGGGGTGCAGGGGCGTCTGCCCTGCCCGCGGGCTGCCTGGCGGCGCAAGTTGCGCGTTGCTGTCTCCAGCCCCCCCGGCATGAGCGGACTGGTTACCCCTGGAGTTCCCTTTCCGCGCGGAGCCCGAAGTCAACCCCTCTGGTCGTTACAAAGCTAATCGCAGCAGCTCGCTCCCCTGGGGCCAATTCACCCCGGGGTGGGCAAGAACTTTCCTTAGGGGGCCACGACGAGAATTCGGGAAGTGCTCCGGGGCCACACTCTCCCCTGATGTCAAAGGAGGAGGTGCGGGGTCTGGGGCGGAAAGGAGCTGGTGGGAGGGGATTAGTTTGTCTGATGTCCATGGCAGACGGGCATTCATGGCATATATTACATTAATGGATAAGCAGTGTGAATGGGTGTTTGATGATATAGCTGATGTGGTTAGGTCCTGTGATGGAATCACTAGGGTAGAGGTGTGGACAGAGCTGGCACAGGGGTTTGTTCCAGGGATAGGTTCCTGGCTTAGCGTTTCCATTGTGGGATGTGAGGTTAGTGCTGAGCATTTCTCAGAGTGGGAAGTGAGTCTGTAAGTGAGGACTCTCTCTATACAAAAGAATAAATGGACACAAATCGACATTTAAGAATAGCAACTGGGGATGTTAAAATGTGTTTATTTTAAGGAAGTGTGACCACTAAAAATTTCTGTGGCTACAGGTTTAGCAGTGGTGTCTTCCCCTCCCCTGTGCTTCTGCCTCTGCGAAAGCTGGTATGTGCAGAGAACTGGCTAGAAAACCAGCTGCCTGTGCATACCAGTTTCCACCTCCTTCCCCCCATACTTTGCACTATGGCCTCTGTATTGGAGGCATCAAGGGAAGGGGGAGGGAGGAGCCAGTGCCCGTGATACAGAGGTAGCCACGCAGAAGACAAGGGAGTGGGCAGGAGCTAATATGCCCAGGAAGCCAGGCCTCTGTCGACCTTGATGCCTCCTAGAAGCAGTGGGGGGAGGGAGGCAGGAGCTGGTGCTGCTCCCCCTCCCTCCCGGACAGGGGATGCACCTGTAACAGAGGCAGAAGCGCAGGGTGACAAGCGGATCTGGTCTGTGTGGGAAGCTGATTTTTTAAACCGGCTCCCCTGGCAGAGTGGCTCCTGCCTGCCATCCTGCACTGCTGCCTCTGATAGAGAGGCAGCAATGCAGGTTGTCGGGGCTTCCCTTGGCTTCCAGCCCCACCGCTGGATACTATCAAATAATCATGTAACTGCTCAAATTTGATGAGGTTACACGACTATTTACTTACCCAATATTTGATCACCTTAAACCAGCTTAAACAGATGCATTAAGTGGTTCTCACATTACAATGGGCATTTCCAAATGAGGTACTCTCACCTTATCACTGTTGGAGATTAGCCACATCTACTCTGATTTAATTAGCACTGATGTCATGCTGCCTTCTCTTTGTCCTGTTTTTTCTTCTTCAACATCTGATGAAGTGAGTTGTAGTTCATGAAAGCTTATGTCCTGATACCCTATGAAATTTGTTAGTCTTTAAAATGCCACCAGGCTCCATGTAGTTTGTGGGTTATCAGAATTCAAAATAGAAACAAAAGACTTCTATGGTGATATTTTGTTTTTTAAGATTGGATATAAGATATAAAAGTACAATTAAAATTGTGCACTGGTAATCATCAGTGTTGGCTTTGTTTCAAATGCAGTGTGCATATTTCTCAGAATATGGGATTTTTTTCCAGAAACTTGGTATTCTGATAGGGTATGTCTACACAGCAAAGTTATTTTGCAATAACAGCCCTTATTTCGAAATACCTTTCCTAGTGTCTATACAGTTAAACTGCTATTTTCAAAATAAATTTGAAATAGCGGAGCGCTTATTTCAAATTTGGTAAACCTCATTCTGCGAGGAATAATGCCAAATTTGAAATAGCTATTTTGAAATAAGTGCTGTGTAGACACTTATTTCGAAATAGGGGGCCTCCAGCCTTCCTAGGGTGCACTGGTGGCCACTCCAGCCTCAATCAAGAACACTCCTCTCCCTTCCCCAGAGCCCTTAAAGGGGTGGACTCTGGCCACAGTTCCTGTGCCAGCTCCACGTCTACCAGCCCAGAGCCAGCAGTCACTGCCCCGACCCAGTGGCCCCAAAACATAAGCCAGCAAGCCACTGGCAGCCAGCCCTCCACCGCCCCCCAGGAGCAGTCTGCCAGCTCCCAAGAGCCTGCCAGAGCCCGGAGAAGGCGGGTGCCTTCCTGGTCCAGGGTGGAGATCCTGGACCTTATTCAGGTTTGGGGGGGGGATGCCCCCAACGTCCATGATCTCCGCAGTAGATGCAGGAACGTGGCCATCTATGACAGGATAGCTGCCAGCCTGGCCACCAAAGGTCACATGCGAACCGAGAAGTCAGGTTTGCATGACAATCAAGTTCATCCGGCAAGACCCCCAACCCTGAGCCCTGAGCTTCCCCTCCCCTTGCTTCCCTCTTCCAGCTCCCTCCTCCCAGGTTTCCTCCTCTCCTCTCCCACCCTCTCTTCTCCTGTCTCCTGCCTTCTTTCCCAAGTCTCACCAGAGTTTCATTCCCTCCCCCACCCCAGTTTTGTTAAATAAAGAGAGTTTGTGTTCATGAAAATATGTGTATCTTATTTGACATCAGGAAGGGGAGTTAGGGAGGGCTAAGTGGAAGGACGTGAGGGAGGAATGAGGCACAAGCCCCCAGTGGGGCAGACCAGGGAGGCTCTTAGTGCTGTGGTGTCCCAAGTGAGGGGAACCAGAGCACGCACAGACAAAAGGCTTTGCTGTCCCTCATTGAGGTAGACAAGCAAGCAGGGAAATCTGAGGACTGGCTGTATGGGGGCGGAGGTCCCCTTTAAGCATAGACCTCAGCCTCAGGCAGGAGCCCCACACAGTAAGTCCTGACCTAGTGCCCTGCTGGAACTGGTTCCAGCCAGTCTTAAATGCGATTCAGAGTCTACTCGATGTGGACGCGCTCTTTCAAAATAGCAAAATGCTATTTTGAAATGTATTTTGTGTGTAGACGTGTTATTACAAAATAAGCTATTTCGAAATAATGCTGAAGTGTAGACATAACCCATAGTGTTTATTACAAAATAATTTGCAAGTGTTATTAATGGTCATTTTGTGGCAAAAAACAAACAAACAAACCAACCCTGACCTTGATAGTGATTTGACCTTTCTATTGACTAAAAACATTGGTGGTAACAAACGCAGTCCTTCCACTCGTTTTCTGGCAAGGTTGGTTCTACATAGTATTAGTTTGTAGTTACTGATTTTTCTTAATATGATTAAATGAAAAACTCAAACAGGTTAGGTGTACCAAAACAAGTTCCTGAGATGCAAGGACAACATGAAAAACCACTGTATACGATCACTTGATAACAATGGTCCTCAAACTTTTTCTCTTGCGCACGCACACCCCTCTCTTTACAAGTAAGGCTGGATTAATTCTTTTGGGGAGTGAGGGCTAGTGGATTCTGAGGGGGCCCCTAGATGATGCGTGGGGCTATAAATGAGGATTTCAGTATATGGGAGGGGGCTGCTGGGAAGTGGGGGGCAAGAGTGCAGGGTCTGGACCAGAGATAGGGTGTTGGAACTTGGGTTGCTTACCTGGCGCAGCTACCAGGAGAAACAGGTGGCTCTGCACAGTCCTGTGATTCTTGGCCAATGGGAGTGGTGGAGGTGGGGAGAACAGTAGCACGCAGAGCTGCTACCCCTGGCAAACAGAACCACAGCATGGGGCGGGGGGGCTTTAGTGCCTGCATCCCAGAGTCCTTGGGCTGCAACCCCTAAAGCTCTCTTCATAATCTGGCCCTGTTTGCAAGTAATGGACTGTAGTTCCTTTCTCCCCTCTGTTTACCCAGGAGCCACAGTCAGGAACTGGACCAGAGCAGGGGGCCTGAGTCACGGTGGGAAGCGAATGGTTCAGGCTGGGGCTGGAGTGGAGCTTTCAGCAAAGTGGGACCAGCTCCCTTCCCACCACCAAAAGGGACTTGCCTACGCCCTGCTGTGCCCCCAGGAATATTCCTTTGGGGACACTTCCTTTAGTTAGGGGCCCTGATTAACCCACTGTCTGTCTCTGACATTTAAAATAAGGAAGACCTTTGTGGTCAGTCAGTCGATCTTATTTATTCATATTATCAGTCCTTCACTAGATGATGCTATTTTGGTCTTCAGGAAAGTTGCAATAAGAATAATTTTCTAATTTATTCCCAGAAAGTTAATGTCTGTGAAAGTTAGAGTATTCATATTTCGCGTATACACATCCCAAACTCATAACTCTGGTCATCTGAAGAAGTGGACTGTGCCCACGAAAGCTCATGATACCATCTACATGCTTTGTTAGTCTATAAAGTGCCACCAGACCATTATTTGTTGTTTTTTCTGTAACAGACTAACTCGGCTATCCCCTGAAGCTTATAAATCTTTAGTTTCTTAAAAACAAAAACCACCCCTAAAACCCACCTCAATACTGTCAATTTAGGCTTGAATAAAAATCTTAATCTACAAAGGCAATTTTCCCAGTTTTGATATTCACATCTCAACACGAAATGCAGTGAATGGGACACATCCACCCTAACTTAATCAGCTTCATTAACACTGGTCCTACAATTAACAGGTAACTTCTTTCGCTGTTTTATATACCCCGGATTTTGTGATTTCTGTGCCAACTCATCTGATGAAGTGTGTTTTATCCATGAAAGCTCATGACTTAATAAATGTGTTAGCCTCTAAGGTACCACAGCCTGCTCGTCATTTTTTCGGCTGATAACATTAGGAATGCAAAGAGTACTTTTAAAAAATTCTCAGTAGATAGTCTGCTTATTTTCCAGTTAATCAAATAAAAGATGTAATGGCTTAATGTTTTCAGAGTTTTTATTTTAAAAAATCAAAATCTCCAATGGCAGCCTGTGACTAAGTTATTTTGACAGATAATAATGAAGAAAATCAAAGTCTCTAATGAGTCTGTAGGAGTTGTGTTTAGTAAATCTATACCGTAGCTTTACAAAAAGCATACCATACCGTACATATTTAATGCATTTTCTCCTTGCATGAAATCTCTGAGGAAATATATCTGCCTTTGTTATCACTTACATTGTTACAAAAACAAATTTTCAAAGAAAGATTGTTTCTGATGAGATATTTTGGTAATCCTCTTAATCTGCTGTATTTTTTTAGATACCCTTAGACAGCAAGAATTGAAAAACTCTTTCTCTATGCAAGCAAAAATGCCTCCTTGTGACTTTTCACCTGAAAAATATGAGGTAAGTCATGCACAGTATATTGTACATGTGTGTCTTCTAAACTGTGCCACTAGATCTCAGTGTTAGGATCACCATTATACTGTATTCTGTAACTGTTCTATTCACTAGCTTGTTACGAGTATTATTTAGTAGCATCAGAAATTTAGGTCATGGCTTTTATCCTTCTTGGGTCCTTTGGAGGGTCAGATTTAAATGTGCTGCTAAAGGTTAGAATGCAGTAGAAGAGCAATCTTAATTCAAGAAGAAGTGGGAGTGAAACTTTTTTCTATTATTAGTTTCCCTTTCCAAGTTTTTACTAGCTAATTTGAGGAGTTCTGTAAAACATTTTCCCCCTTTCACCAAAATCTGTGCCAAGTTAGTTTTTAGAGGAAGTCTAGTATGGCAGAGAGGGTAGGGCAAATGTTCTATTTTTAAAGAACTATTCTTATTTGGTGTCTGATGCCCCATAGCCTTTGTCCAGCAAGGCGCTAATAAGCATCTGATCAGTTTTAAGGTATATTTCCAAATATCAGTCACATGCAAGATACAAATGGCAAATTCAGGACAAACAGCTGAGAAAGACAGCAGGCACACCTCAAAGCAGGTGGTTGTCCTCCCACAAGATATACTAGACCAGCAACAGAAGTACACACTGGCTACCAAGAAGTCAGAAAAGCAGTTTCCTTAGATAAAACCAATTTCACACAGGTCAATGTATAAACTTAGGGTATGTCTACACTTGCTCCCTAGTCTGAACTAGGGATGCAAATGTAGCATACCGAAGTTGCTAATGAAGCACGGGATTTAAATATCCCACGCTTGATTAGCATATTCACGTACGACCGCCATTTTAAAAATCCCCTACTCCGAATTAACTTGTCGCATGTAGATGCGGTATTCCGAAAGAAACCCCTTCCCTCGGATAAATTGTTTTTCTTCGTTGCACGAAGAGTGACAGTTAATCCGAGTACTGTGGCAAGAGATGGGGCCCAAAGTAGATCACAAACTAAATATGAGTGTATAGTGTAATACTGTTGTAAAAAAGGAAACATGACTCAGGCCTGTATTAGAAGTGTTGTAAGCCAAATGCAAGAAGTGATGTATCCGTTCTATTCTATGCTGATTAGGCCTCAACTGGAGTATTGTTCCCAGTTCTGGATGCCATATTTCAGGAAAGATATGGACAGATTAGAGAAAGTCCAGAGAAGAGAAACAAACATGATTAAAGGTCTAGAAAACATGACTTATGAGGGAAGATTGTAGCCAGAGTCAGCCCCTTTAAGGGCTCCGGGGACAGGGGAGGGAGAGGAGTTTTCTTGGTTGAGGCTGGAGTGGCCACCAGGACACCCTGGGAAGGCTGGAGGCCCCCTATTTCAATATAACTGTTTACACAGCACTTATTTCGAAATATCAAATTTGGCTTTATTCCTCGTGGAATGAGGTTTACCAAATTTGAAATAAGTGCTCTGCTTTTTTTAATTAATTTCGAAATAGCGGTTTGGTTGTGTAGACGCTAGTAAAGTTATTTCGAAATAATGGCTGTTATTTTGAAATAACTTTGCTGTGTAGACGTACCTGGATTTTGGAGGTTTATAGAGCCTAATTTTGGTATAATGTCAATTTTAACATTGTATTCATGTAGTTAACTCAGATTGCAATGTGAACAAACTATATTGTGGTATTTATATCATGTAGATAGCTTTATAATCCATTAAAACTTTAGAAATGGGAGAGAAAATGACTGCTTCCTTCCTATAGTCCTACCCCTATGAGCATATGCTGAAGATCCGCAAGCAGAATCTCTCTCCAGCACTGTTAACATGCTACAAGAAACCACTGCTGCTACATCAGGGACATATGCAGTGGCTGTTTGATTATGAGGGACGAAGGTACCTTGATCTGTTTGCTGGGATTGTTACTGTCAGCGTTGGCCACTGTCACCCGTAAGTCTGTTACTGTGTGAGTTACACTGACTCCTCCTAAATAGTAAAAGCTAAAGCCATCACATTTAGTATTCAACTTCCTCTTCTCCTAACTTAAAACAAGGTCAGGGACGTGATATCAGACTGGCCACTGAGAGCAGCAAGCCCATAGGGGAGAGCTGTCCTTCAGGGTGTCCACTGGGGGCAGCCATACCACCAAGAAATGGCTAGCGGGCCGGAGCCAGCCCACCAAGCCACCAGATCTAGCCCTCAGCTGCCTCATAGGTACCCTTACTACAGAGCAGGAGCAGCCGATTTAAAGAGTAGGCTGCTAATTGCTCTGCAAGATGGACGGGGGGAGAAAGCTTCATGTGCCATACCTGCCCCCTAGCAAAATCCCCAAGCTCCCATTGGCCATTTTCCAGCCAATAGGAGCTGAGAAATGTTGCTGAAGGCAGGGGTAGCAAATGAAGCCTCTTCACTTTCCCCTCCCTACCTGTGCCAGAGTCACGTGGGGCAGCCCAAATGCAGGGAGTCTGTAGAGCTGCTGGTTGGGAGCTGCCTCCCAGCCAGAGCCTGCCTCTGGCACCCCAACACCTCCCTGCAACAACCTGCTCCAGGCCACCACCCTAACTCTCTGTATCCCCTCTGTCTACCTCTTCCAGGTCACAACTCCCTCCCAGACTCTGCACCCCCTCCTGCAGCCCAAACTCCCTCACTCACTCTGCATCCCATTTCCCTGCTCCAGATTACAACCCTCTCCTTCACCCAGACTCCCTCTCAGACCCCACACTCCCTTCTGCACCCAGTCCTTTATTTCAAGCTCCCTTCTACACCCCACTCACTGTCCCAGATCCCATGCCTCCTCCACAGAGATGTGGCCCTTGACCACTTACCAAAATCTTGGAGTTGTACACTGGGGGAAAGGACACTGGTAGCCGGGTGGGGAGGTTGGGTAGAGAGAGAAGGCCTCTGGCAGCTGGGGTGGAGGGGGCAGCAAATGTCCCTGGCAGCCAGGGAGGGAGCTGGGGCGAGAGGAATGGCCCATGCCAGATGTCACCCCCTGCTATGAGCCTCTCTTCACCCTGCAACCTTCACTTGCACCGTCCCCAGCCTCCTGTACTCTCCCCCTCACGTTCTCAAGGCCTTCCCTGAGTCCTGCACCCCCCACACCACCAGACCCCTGTCCTTAGGCAATGAGGGTTAAGTCTGCTAGTACAGAAATATACTTTTGTCTTTTCGTGTTTGGCCCCATATACCGAAAGGCAGAATACGGCACACTATGTTTTGGTGTATCTGGGATCAGATTCTTAGGGTATGTCTACACAGCAGCGTTATTTTGAAATAACTGACATTTAGGAATAACAAAATGCAAATTTACACTGCAAGCTATTATTTCAAAATAATGGAGGACTTCTTACTCTGACTTCTGTAATCTTAATTTTATGAGGAATAAGGGAAGTCAAAGAAAGAGCTTCCTGCTGTGTAGACAGTGCTAAAAGCTGAATTAAGCTATTTCAGCTTTAGCTACGCAATTGACATAGCTTAATTCAACTTTTTTCCTGCTGTGTAGGTGTACCCGTAGGTTCAAACCAGATGCAATCTTCTGGCATAATAGCTCATTGCTTTATTCATTCATCTGTTCATTTGGCAGTCAATAAAATGCTAGAATTTAAAGAGAAACAGCAGATTCAGAAAAAAAATGGTATGTATGTTGGACTAAATTAGTCAGTTTTTCTTACCACACACAGGAAGGTAACTGCAGCTGCCCAAAAACAACTTGGTCGTCTATGGCATACAAGCAACATCTACATGCATCCATCAATCCAGGAATATGTAGAGAAACTAACAGCACTTCTCCCTGATCCACTCAAGGTACCTAAATCCCAACAGAAGGGATGCCTGTTAATTAAAATATTTTTTATTTTACAGTTTCAGTTGATAACAGAGAGTGCTACAGTATTTGGAGATAGAATATTGTGATATCAAACATATATCCTTATTTAAAATCCCCAAAAGGAGTACATAGCTTCAAGTAAAGAGAAAAAGCTACAGTTCTTCGAGAGATGTTCCTGTGGGTGCTCCATATTAGGTCGGTGTTGCTGAGCCATCTATTGGAGATTTTACACAGGGTCCTTGGGGCCGTGCATATGCACATCTGCAGCTGCACGGTCCTAAGTGGCAGGCATCACGCATCCGTGAGCTCCCCCCCACACCTCAGTTCCTTCTCTACCTCCTCTGGCTGGAGACAGAGATCAGTAGTGGTCCATATCTTGTTTGCGGTTTAGAAACTAATCCCTTTTAAAACCAAGGGTTTTTTTTCTCCCTAGTTGATCTGCTGTTGGTAGCTTACTTTAGTTTAAAGGGGAAAAAAACACATAGACTACGATAGTTTTTCTTTCAGTTTATCCCCTTCCTGTAACTTATTAGCTGTTCGGCGCCATGCCCGGCTCACTGGGTTTTAAGTGCTGCTGAATCTGCAAAGATCCTATCCCTGTCTTGGACAGGCACACTTAATGCGTCTGCTGCCTTGGAGAGTTGCATGTTGCTCAGAAATGCCCACTGTCATGAGTCCATGCTTGTAATTTATGCAAATTACACCCCTTTATTCAATCATACACTTCCCCACACCCAATCACCATATAGTTCAGAGCCAAAGCTCTAGCAGATCGTCCTGGGGCCAGCCAACCTCTTCAACTGGGTCTCAAGGGTCGCCTTCAGATGGCGGAGAGGGGGCCCGGGCCCACCCACTCTCCCGGGCCCCAGCCCAGGACCCTAACGCAAGGAGCTAAACTCCCTACTGTAGCAAACAGGGGTGTTGCCCCTAAACACGTTTGCTCCTGGGTTTCGCAACCCCGCTGTGGGCCACTGCTCAGCTCCGCCACCCGGGCTCAGATCGCAGGTGCACAATGCACTTGTTGTGCCCACGCTCTTGGGTCCCCCAGCACCTGCTCCTCCTGAGCCTCCGTCTCCCCACACTCCTGCTCCTCCCTCCCCTTTTCCTGCCCAGCCATCCCTCTTTTATATCCGCCCCTGGGCTCTGCGGGTGACGTCACCCCTCCTCCCCAGCCTTACCCCCTCCCAGATGGGAGTATCTGGGCGCCCGTCTGACGTCACATACCCAGAGGGTGTGACACCCCCTCTCCCCAGCCTTACCCCCTCCCAGACGGGAGTATCTGGGCGCCCATCTGACGTCACATACCCAGAGGGTGTGACATCATCCTCCTGCACCGGGCCCATGATGGCTTGTGGGGTCCGTGCTCTCTGCGTGGCATCTCCTCCTTCCCCGTCCGGCGCCTCCAGAGCCGGCCCCGTCGCTTTCCCTGCAGCATGAGCGCTGGCGCTTTCACCCCTCGGGGCCTCACTCAGCCCGGGACCATGACAGGGTTCCTCCACCCCGCCACACCCACATTGTGCAAAAATGAAGTCATGGGCGCAACGAGACAGAGACCTGTGTCTCAAGTTAATTCTGCTTGAGAAATCTCTTTCAGACCTGCCTCAGACCTGGGTCAACAGCCCAAGGAGCAGAAACAAGGCGGAGGCAAAAATCCTTGCCTCAGGAGATGCCAGCACTGCAGCGGCAGCCTCCCAAATGGCCGGTGCCAAAAGAGGTGGTGGGACTGCGCCTAAGCACTCATAATGCTCCAGGTGTCTCCAGAGCCAATAGCACAGCTAGCAAAGCTGGATTCTCAATACCCTGCTCTGAGGTGGCAGGCTTTAAGTTACCTGCCTCGTCAGCTGTGACAACATCCGGCACTGATTTGACTTTGCTGACACAGCATGAGAGCGCAGCGCCGGCCATATCACCCGGCACCAGTGCTTATACCACAGAGGCGTCTAGTGTGTCTCTAGTTCACTCGGCACTGAGGCATAATCCAACGCCTCCAATAGCGCCAGTGCTTCCTACTATGGCACCGTCAATGCCAGCTCAGCAATATACTCAACATAGAGACTTCGTCTCTTCCACCTTCAATTCACCATTTCTCAGTCCTGAGCATTCTCCTGCTCTGTTAACATCAGAAATGACATTATCTCAAGAAAGATTTTCATCCGGGTCTGAAGATGACCTTTATGTGGGGTTCTCTCCAGAAAACTCTCACCCACACATATCAATCTATTTATGCTTCTAGGTCATGCTGAATTATGGGAACATGCCTCCATAGAATGGCAATCCCTGGGTACCTCCACCTATGCCATACCCACAGTGGCAATATCTGAACAACTGGCAACTTTGCCAAAAATACCACCATGGCTGGAGATGACATCTAGTGCAGTATTTCCCTTCATCATATTCCTTACCTACGAATCAAGCACAGCAAGAGGACCCACCCAACCAAGTTGCAGCCAAAACTTGGAGCCAAACGAACCCGCTTCAGCACAGGAAGTGGTTGTGTCTCCACCTTCAACTACCTCAGATGATCTTGCACATTTTCAAGACCTTTTTATATATGTGGCTACTGAATTAAACAACCCCTTCCAGGAGGTCACCAAATATCAACATGAACTAACAGACATATTGCACTCAGTAACACCCTCTAAAAAAGCACTACCAGTTAATCCAGAAATAATGGAACGTACAAAGATGGTGTGGCAAACCGCGGCATCAACCATGTCTACCTCCAAGAGAGCGGACAAGAAATAATACCTTTTGCCCAAGGGCTTTGAGTTTCTTTTCACCCACCCAGTACCTAACTCTCTCATAGTGGAAGCTGCACAACAGAAAACCAACCAGCAACGATTCCGGTTCACCCCATTGGACCGTGATAGCAAGAGACTTGATTTATTCGGACGTAAGGTTTACACATCTTCCACCTTACAATTTTGTATTTTGAATTATGCTGCTTTATTATGTAAATATGACTAGAGAAATTACACCAAGCTCAATGAATTTATTGCAGACATTCCTGAGGAAAAAAGACAGCAGTTGAAAGCACTGATGTCAGAGGGTCACATGATTGCCAGAACAGCCTTGCTGGCTAGACACTGCAGATACGGCTGCATGATCTTCAGCAACAGCAGTGGTCATGAGAAGGTCTTCATGGTTTAACTTCACTCCCTTTCTGACAGTGGAAGATCTTCCCTGTGACATCCAGAAGCTGTTTGCAGCAAAATTCTGCATTCGATGAAGGATTCCAGAGCAACGCTTCGCTCTCTAGGGATCCACGACCCAGAATCTAGAAGGAGACAATACAGGTATCAGCCCTACTCTAGACCTCAATACCCTCCTTATACTCAATATTATAACAGACAAGACCAACTTCAACAGTGCAGAGGCAGAAAGCAATGACGACACCCTTCCTTTAAAAACTTGCAACACTCGCAGCAATCCAATAAGCAGATTTGAACAGTAGGTCAAGGGTTGTGAGAGCCTCTTGTCTATTCCAACACTGCACTTTCAAGCTAAACTTTTTCACCACTGGCTGCTAACATTCTTTAACAACTGGCATCGTATAACCTCTGACAGATGGGTTCTCCAGATAATTGACAGACTATTTTATCCCCTTCATGTCTGTGCCCCCTTTCTATCCTCCATCCCAGTCCCTCTCCAGGGACCACTTTTATGAGAATCTGCTTCAACAAGAGGTAGAACACCTCTTGCACATAGGGGTGTTTGAACCAGTCCCTGCGCAATTTAAGGGAAAGGTCTTTTACTCACATTACTTCCTGATGGAAAAACAGTTGGGAGGCTGGAGACCCATCTTAGACCTATGAGCACTCAACAAGTTTGTTCAGAAACAGAAATTTAAGATGGTAATGCTTGACACTATTATTCGGGCGTTGGAACAGGATAATTGGTTCTTGTCCCTTGACTTGCAAGATGCATATTTTCATCTATTCATCCAGCTCATAGACGTTGTCTCTGATATGTCGTAGGTTCACAGCACTACCAATACAAAGTACTCCCCTTTGGACTCTACGACCCTGAAGGTCTTCTTAAAGGTTCTTTCTACACAAAGACTCCTGCTGATTGCTGTCAATCACAAGAACCTTATTCTAGCATCTTGGTCTACAAATAAATGAAGGCAAATCAACACTTTCTCCCACACAAAAGATCCAGTATATGGAAACATGCCTCGATTCAACAAGGGCCACCCATCCTTCCTGCCGGACCATTTCCAAACAATTGTGGCCTTGGTAAACACCCTAAAATCCAGTCCCCGAACAACAGCATATGAATGCCTTCAGTTACTGGGACACGTTGCAGTATTCAATTTTGTTATCGGCAACGCTGGCCTCCACATGATATGTTTACAGGAATGGCTGGGACAGGTCTACAAGGCCAATATCTACCCACTGTCCAAATCCCTAGTGCTCCCAATACTGGTAAAGAAATCCCTGCAATGGTGGACAAGTCCACTCAACCTTTGTTCTGGAGTCCCTTCGGTCCATCAGAACCGTCCGTCTCCATGATGACAGATGCATCTCTTACAGGATGGGGTGCTCACCTATGACATCACACAGCCCAGGGGTTGTGGTCCTACAGCAACAAGAACCTACACATAAACATACTAGAACTCCGTGCAGTCAGATATGCTTGCACAAAATTCCACCCATTCATTGTCAACAATCATGTCAGACTGTACATAGGCAGTGTTGTAGCAGTGTTTTACATAAACCTGATCTCAAGCACTTTGCACAGAAGTCATAGCACTTTGGAACTGGTACCGCAAATGCAGCATAAACATTACCGTGGTGCACCATCCGGGGCACCCTGAACATGATGGCAGGTGCACTCAACAGAGCATGACTGACGGACCACGAGTGGCAAATAAACCCAAATATTGTTACATATTTTCAGACAATGGGATTACCCTACCATAGATCCATTTACCACACAATCCAACAAAAAATGTCACCTATACTGCTCACGGGCA